GTCCTTTTACTGAGATAGGTCATAGGCTATTTAGACTTAGACTTAGGCTTTTTATAGGCTTTTTTTTAATTTGCTTACTTAATTAATTTAAAAATTAAAATAAAGCATTATAGTCAAAATCAAATAAGAATCAGGTCGACAACAGTCTACCTTAGCAGAAAACGTAACTAAAAATTCTACATTTAAAACTATCTAATTTTGAAAAGACACAGGAAGAGGAGTAATGCGAGGTTGACGAAGATTTATGCGAGGCACGCGCGCGACCGATGCGCTTTGTATATTTTACTAAAGCTGTGGACATTGAATTTCCTAGGAATGAATGAGCATTTTCCCATATTTCACATAAAAGTTAATAAATACGGTCATTGACTTTAATTCGAAGCTAGTAAACAAATTATAAATACTATGGCTTATGGCTAATAATAAGGACTTTCATTTTAATAAACTTAATGAATTGCTCAAATAATAATTTATGTACTGTTTATGTAAAAAGGCAGACTGAACTTGCTTTTCATATTAAAAAAAATCCTATTAATAAATATTATTTTAATTAGTTTTTTGTGTTTTCTAAATATTGTACGAGCCAGGTTAGAAAGAACTGTAATAAAGCTTACTTCACAAAAATCCAGTGCCTAAAAGACGTTTCTATAGTGGTGTGTACTATGAATTATAACTTCATAGTCATATGCATAAAAATTTAAGATAAAATATTACAAAATTTACGTTACGTATACACCTCTACCGTTACTTATTGACAATAAACTAGGTATGGCTACTCAACACACGACAGTGTAAATAATAGGCTCACTTTGTGAATGACAATGAGCTTGACAAAACAGATTTAAATATTGCTTGTATTTTAAGTCATGAGAGTACCGCTTTCTTTGTACAAAGATTTTCTTATAAACCGGAAAATTGAATATATAACAGCAGTTATATATTCAATTTATTCCGGTTAACATAACTGCGTTCTAAGGAGTACTCAAAATGAGGACAAAGTGTATTTCTAAAATATATACATATGCAGATATTAGATTATTTTTAATCAAAAGTAGCAAGTTAAAAGAAAGTTTTAATTCTATATTAATATTAATGACTATATACATATATGTATGTACACTAAGCCTATGAGAATGTGTTTTCTATTCGATTATTGAATAAAGAGTGCCTACGGAGACAGTTCAACGATCTTTACCTCTTATTAAAATTCATCCAGTTGACGCCGTCAACTGTCGCTAAGCTATTCCTCACTTATTGTCTTGCTAACTCACTCGAGTTGTTTATATTTATAAACTTCTGTATGTTAAAATATGGGTTTTACCTAAAATATTAACATTTGAATATCTAGTAGAATCGATTAAAGCACAGTTAGTTAGCTACCAAGTTGTTTTGTATTCATTCTTCAAGGTATATATTTTGATAAGGAAACGAAACTATAGAGTAAACTTTTCTCTAAAGGTTTTTGATTTAAATAGTTCATAATTTTGCATAGATAAAACATGGTCAAAAACATTAATAGCAATATTTTTATGTCAATATAAAGAAATATTTTACTAGGCATAGTATCATTTTAACATATGTATGTACCTATGTACGCATTTCAATCGTGATTACTCCTAAGACATAATTTCTCTATGGATTTCCTAAGACCTTGTCAATTCTCAGGAGAACGTGCCCTTTAATGGTAGAGCAGTTTTCTAATAGATATACAGAATCACTGACACTTCGCAACGTATTTCATTTTAATGCCCTCTAGGGAGTGCGAGGCCAATTTGTAAGCAAGTTGTTTGACAGATATGATTTATGCGGGGTTTGATTCCCGGTGAGAGCAATCGTAAATCGCGCAAAAGTACACGCTCGTTTTCACCATAACGGCTTTTCGCTTTTCCCGTAAGATTATTGCGGTTGTGCATCTCGTCTTTTTATTTCTGTTGTTCAGACTATTTGCTTTGTTACAGTGTTTGTCTGTGCTAGGTAAGCTGTAACCTTCAGCAGTAAATAGAACAGGTCAACGTATATATTTCCAATTTTCGAAATTTTACGATTCCAATTAGGTATATAAATATTCCCTCCACAACCGCGGACACGCCGGCGTTACAGTTAACAATAGATTTCTTAGAAATTTAATTACTTACTTAGAAATTTACCTTTTTTTTATGGGACTAAGGGGGCAAACGGGCAGGAGGCTCACCTGATGAAAAGTGATCACCGCCGCCCATGGACATCTGCAACACCGCAGGGCTTGCAGACGCGTTGCCGGCCTTTAAGAAAGGAATACGCTCTCTTCTTGAAGGTGGCCAGGTCGTAGCGGTTCGGAAAGACCGCCGGCGATAGCTGGTTCCACAGAGTGGTTGTGCGGGGCAGAAAATGCCTTAAAAATCGCACTGTTGTGGAACGCTGGACATCGAGATGGTGTGGATGGAATTTACTATTTTGGCGCGATGTCCGATGGTGAAATTCAGCAGCCGGGATCAGTCCGAACAATTCCTCAGAACACTCCCCGTGATAGATGCGGTAGAAGATGCAGAGTGATCCAACATCTCTACGCAGAGCTAAAGGATCAAGCCGATCGGAGAGAGCTTGATCGTCGATAAATGGAATCGGTCAAATGGAAGTAGCTGGTACTGGGGAGCTCCCGCCCAAAGATGAGAACAGTACTCCATGTGGGGCCGAATTTGCGCCTTATAAAGAATAAGACGCTGACGCGACGTGAAGTACTGTCTCGCCTTGCTGAGCATACCAAGCTTCTTTGAGGCCAGTTTGGCCTTACCTTCCAATTGACCACGGAACTGGACGTTGCTCGAGATGTCGACGCCAAGTATTCCGATACTGGCTGCGGGAGACAGAGGAGTGTCCTCAAATTGAGAAGCTACGATAAATGGCGACTTTTTAGCGGTTAACGCGCAAACTTGTGTCTTTTTGGGGTTGAATTGGACTAAGTTTAGTCGACCCCAATCCGAGACTTTGGTTAACAGAGATTCGACTTCAGACACAAGTTTTTTCCGGCTCTCGTCGACGTATTCCCGAGAATTTTAGCGCGGCCAGTGTACAGCGCATCCACAGTGCTATCGTCTGCATAGCAATGAATGTTGCTAATTTGCAACATGTCATTGATATGCAGAAGGAACAGAGTAGGAGACAGTACACAGCCTTGTGAAACACCAGCATTGACATATTTAGGATCAGAGCAAGCACCGTCGACAACGACCTTAATGCCCCGATCTGCCAAAAAGCTGGTGATCCAGTTGCAAAATTTCTCGGGGAGCCCATAGGAAGGTAGCTTCGAAAGAAGCGCTTTGTGCCATACCCGATCAAAGGCCTTCGCTATGTCCAGACTGGCTGCAAGCGCCTCCCCCTTGGTCTCAACTGCTTCTGCCCATCTATGTGTCAGGTAAATTAGAAGATCACCGGCTGAGCGACCTCGACGGAAGCCGTACTGGCGGTCGCTAATCAGCCGGTGCTCTTCTAGGTACCGCAGGAGCTGGCAGTTGATAAAGGAGGTGTTAAAGAATCTCATCTCGTTCGGATTTCATGATATTTTTTATCTAACAAATACCTTAAACGTTTATATTTCCTTCACAAATAAATACTATTTTATGGCGTATCCATATCAAAAAAATAGTTGTTTTAAAAACTAGATAAAGAGAACACGGTTATAAAACGAAAGCTACATGAATATGAAATTATAATTTACTATGAATATACAGCATAAACTGAACTCAAGCTACAATTATCTTGAATGTACAAAATGATTGAAAATTTCCATAAATTTGACGAACCGCGTTTCTTAGATGGTTACATCCTAATAGCCGCAGAATCAACATAATGTAACTTTCTAAGAGCTTGTAAAATTCAGATGTATGAGATAACATGGCCACTCCCTGTACAATCCTTTAGAAATAAAACATGTTGAAGGAATATAGGCTTTATAATATTGACCGTAAGAATTATTTCTATATCTAATATGTTTATAAATAGGAAATGCCATCCCGATTATTCATGGGCTTTCACGCCACGTCTACGATCTTGACACGCAGAAGACATGGTGTGATATAAAGAGTCTCTCTGATGATAATTTATAAATAACGGAAGACAGCGATGATGACTATGTGAAATACTTGTGCTGTACAGGAAGTATTGGGCGAACACACCTGTCTCTGACCCACATATATGTGCAAAACATACATTTTAATTTATTTTTTCTTTTTAAACGATATACCTGCTTTTATATTTCATTTATATTAATTACAAATATTTGACATAAGACTAAAATTATTAGAAAGGCAAAAAATGTACCGTATTAATACAAAATATTATGTATTGTATTTAGAAATATTGACTACAATGTTACGATCTTAAAATAATTATTGTCTTCATAAAATATTTAATATAATGTGTGTAATAAAATTGTAACCAAGCCGAATCTGTACATTAAATATTTTTTGGAAACTCTTATTTAAATAAACATTATTATTGATACAGGCCAAATCTATAGTTTTTAGAATTTTTGACTGTCTGTCTGTCTGTCTGTTACCGCATGACAGAAAAACCATAGGAGGGATTTTGATGAAATTTGGTATGGTGATAGCTGGTTATCCGGGTCAACATATAGGATACTTTTTACCGCGGGAAAATATCTCATTTCTGAGAAAAAAATCAAAAACTGAAATGTAAGAGTATCTAATCTGTAAAACCTAAGAATTTGGTTTTTGGTCGTCTGAACGCGGGCGGAGCCGCGGGCAAAGCTAGTAACTAATAAATAGACGGATTCTAATTCCTAATATGAAGAACAAAATAATTAAATTTTAAATACGACGCTCTTAACGCCATCTGTTAGAAACTTGTGAAACTACGTTAAAAGTTTTACTTTTAAGACTTTTACATAGATGGCGCTGCTTATCAATTATTTTAGCAATAAACATAATAATATAATGTATGTAGTTCCATTAATCTTCATACTTTCAATAGATGTAAATAAAAAAAGTACAATTAATAAATTAAACAGCTCCTAGTGGATATCCATTAGGCACTAATAAATTTGTCCAGGTGTAATTGTACGACATTACGAGTAAGGAATTTCTGATAACCATTTCTACTGTTGCATATTTATTGGCTTGATACCTGTTGAAATGGACATGTTCTCGTAGTTTATCAATGCATGGGTAAATTGTAGGTAAGAGCAGTAATAACTTTATTCTAGAAGCTTTAACACCAAATATGCATTTATATTTTATATAAATTTCTATTTCGAAATTTCTTTAATAATAATATACTATCCAATTTTTATTACAAAATTTGAGTTAATATAAAAATATACATTAGAGAAGTACTTAAGAAATCAGTAACCATTTTTTTCTATTTGGTTTTTGTATCCAAAAGACAAAAGATAAAAAGAAAAAAAAATCAAAAAATTAACACATCAGAAAAAAATTACTATTTGGAAAAAACTGTACCTTTACAGAAAAATGGCTTAGGCTGTTTTTATCATCAGAAAGAGGAGTATTTCATGAAAGTTTGTTTAAAATAGCTCGAAAGTCAGAACATTAAAATAGACAGGCAAGAATTTATGAGTAATGGAACACAAAAATTCAAAAATAATTGTTCTCCATGCATGTATGATATTATTAATGTGCTAATGCTAGACCTAATGTTGATGTTCAATATGAACTCATCTATTTTCGTTTTTGCGATTCTATTTCCAGGAAGTGGTCTTGCTCTCAAGAACTTTTTGCTTTTATTTTATTTATCAGATTGCAAATTACGAAGTCAATTCATTTATATATTTACTAAAAGTACATAATGTAGGGTAGGTATTACATTTAGGTATGTTAAACTAGCAGAACTCACAGCTACGCTCGCGCTAAAACTACAAAAAAAAATCTCTTAGATGATTGTTTTCATAAAACTTTCACCCTTATTTTACCCCCTTATGAATTATTAAGAATTTGGAAAAATGCTAAAACATGAATTTATTTAATTGTATTGAAGAACATTAATACCAAGTTTCAAGTAGGTAATTCTGATCATAAATATTTTTTGGGTTGTATTATGTTTTCCTGTGGGAACGTAATAATCTCCCGCGGTAAAAAGTAGCCTATTGTCACTCTTCAGCTCTCCAACTATTCTTCACTTCTTACACTCTTCCCAGAAAAATCACGTCATTCCGTCACTGTTTTGACGTGAAAGAAGGACAAACAAACAAACAAACACATTTTCACATCAATAATATTAAGTATGGAAGTATGGATAGACACATACAAGCTGGTAATAAAATAGTGATAAATAATGTACTTTTTGCTTTTATAATATACTTTATAAAATATGTAAATTATCTTACTACAATATAATATTTACATTATTGGGTTTTTATAATAAAAAGTCGATATCATTAGAAAACTTTTATCACGTGAGAAACTATAATAATTAAAAAAAAAAATTCGTCACAAATGATATATAATGATATGAATGTAATTATGTAAATTTACTACTAAAATCTTAAATTACGTGATTTTTGACGTCAGGTAACACCGAGCAGACATACGCACACCGAAACAGCTATTCAGTGAATGAGTCTTGAGTGAAAGAATACATTAAGCTAACAGCTCGTAACCACGGTTTCTCACCATCTTGTCTTTCAAAGTATGCATAGCGTGTTCTTTTATGATGTAAAATATCTTATACGATTATAACACTGTTACATTTAAGAGGTAGGTACCCATTTTTTAAAAGTTTATTGTTGATACGTGACAAAATATATAAATAGCGAATAGATTATTTTTTCGGTTTTTTTTTTGCGTTTTATTTTGATTCTCTGAATATAAACATGGTTTGAATACTTTACACTTTATAGCGAACGTGATCATGGTGATTAAGGCCTATGACGTCTCAAAAGTCATAGTTATCAACCACAAAATTATATAATAATTTGCAAGAAAAGAGATATGGGACCATAATATCTTATAAATAATAAGTATACAGAATAAAATAAATCTCGTTTGTAGCTGATGTATATAAGGTTTTGATGTTTAGCAAAATGAAATATGTAAGTGTATAATAATTAAAAAAAAAGAACTAATATGTCTGTTTGTTATTCTGACCTGCTAAAAGAAAAAAACTTAAAAGTAATAATAAAAAGCTTGTGTGACAACTACATACATTATGTAGACATGGAAGAACTGACGCTGCTTCGCCTTCTTCCAAATATGATCCATAACAGGAAAAGTCCGGCGGCGACGTAGTGCACCCATTCCGGTACCGAAAGCTCGACTGCCGCAGTGGTACATCTGAACAACGACGGTACATAGTGGTGTGTTTTCAGGCGAGTGTTTTTTATTACATGTGGTAGTTGTTTGTTACATATCCGTCATGTGATGGTTTGATATTAATTTAGCGTGCTCATTCATAAATTTAATATGTAATTTATTTGAAAAGTCCTCCTATGTCAAAGCAACGAAATATAAACAGTTTTAGCTTATAGTTTTCATAATAGTAGGGGAGCCCAAGAGGGGATTTTTGTAGTTACTCAAGCGCGGCAGATTAACATAAAAGAGGTTACCTTGCACTCTATTGAGTACTTTCACCATAATATAAGTCTTCTATATAAAGGGGCGCGTCTAGGGAAGCCGATTAAAATATTTAAAAAATGTTTTGATAAGGTAGAAATACTTGAAACCGTCAGATTAAGGCGTGGTAGGCTAGTCACATCGACATATAAAGTTTATGATGATTTTTGCCTCTTCGGCTTGTGCAAATCGGCAGATTATTGAATTGGACACTTTTCATGATGTGATTACTACCCTACTATAAGATCCATCTAATACTACTACATCAAGTATTTTTGTTTTTTATTATTATTTAATTTATATCAGTTCTTTATCTTATTAATAAAGTACAAAGTGAAATATAATACTTATAACATCTTAATTAAGCCGCGTAATCACCACATTTGTCAAAATCACAACAGCCTGTATATCGAGTATCAGCTCTCGTAGTGGAAGGGGTCATTCACCAAAAGGTGGGGTAACAGTTGAATTCTCTTACATAAATCATTCCGGTTAACACCATATAAATGACATAATGTCATGTCTAATATTTCATTGTTATCTTTTTTTAGACATGAACATCTATATTTTCTAACGATTTATATTAACAGATCACCCTCGCTTTGTTCGGCTTCGTCGCTAGGTACGTTTTAAATAGATATAAATAGTTGTTAGCCAGCGTTAGCCATATAAATTTTTTTTTCGTTATTTTTCATTTTCTTAAAACCTACCGTGGACCTTAAGGAACATACGAAAAAAAAATTTAGCCGAATTGGTCCAGCCAATCTTGAGCTATGCGCTTACTAACTTTCATTTTTATTTATATAGACAGATATGGTACTTACGTATTAACGCCACCGCAGCTGCAGCGGTGGCCCGTGGCCTTAATACGTATTACGTAAGTACCACGAACCCAAGTAAGGTTTGGGTCCCGGGACATCTCGTGACGCAAAGTCCCGGGAATTTTTGTAAATTTAGTAGTCTCAGGTCCCAAGACTTTCGGATTGAGACTCGTGATACTTTTATACTACGAATTTGAGTAAAACTGCACTTATTGCATATGCATTATATGGCAAACGCCACAACTAGAACAAATGGATATTGAACACAGTACCAGTAGCTCGACTACTGTACAGAAGGAACCGGACGAGTCGTTCCAAAGTCAAATAGAGCAGACGATAAAAAAAAAACAGAAAATGTACTTGAAATTGTAACGAAAAAAGTCAAGGGCAACATTAAAGAACCGGCCAAGTAAGTGTTGGGCCTAGCGCAATGCCGAGTTCCGTAGTTGTCCATCACAATAATGCGGAATAAGAAGAGGCTTTTTGTTGTTTCGTACTATGAACGTTTAACAGTTAAAGGATTCGGTGGCACATAGTAACAAGTACATTCTAGAATGTTATTTTATAAGTTAGTCGACTATTATTCGTAAACTCGTAAAGAGTACTTAGCTGCGATAGTTTTACTTTTGACTTCGTTATATATACTACTACCGTGAATTTTTCCATACATCCAAAAACAACCATTTAGCTGACAGGTGTACACTGGACTCTAGCACTTTAAAGCTTAATATTTCACAAACAGATTCTTTAATCGAAAACTTATTTTTACAAACCCGCTATATTTTTAAAAGATCTATTTAACGACAGCCTATACCATGGGGTGAACGATAAAAAAAACATCCCCACATTACACGTAGAGGAGATACCCAAAAAATTTTTTTTCATGATTTTATTTTAATACTTTGTCGGTGTAACTAACAAAACTAAAATATATATCCATGCCAAATTACAACTTTTTAATACTATTTTAAATAAAATTATCTTTTTGGATTATTTCGCGGATTTATTTTGATTTTTGGTTCCCGACGTTTCGATTCATTTACAGCAATCATGGTAACGGGGGAGGCTAAGGTTGTAGACGTCTCTAAGGCTTTATATAGGTACTTGTTACAGACAGTGCCTACCCCTATTTTACAAAAATGATTTAAAAAATTCAAAAATGGCACCAAAGTACCTTACAATATTTGTTGATTTTTATTTCTAAATATTAAAAAAATTATAATTAAATATAGTAATATCTAGTACCAAGAGCTTCTGAACTAAGGGTTAAGGGTACTGAAAAACTATAAGGGTTCCTTGTTGATTGACGGAACCCTAAAAACGAGTTGCAGTTATTTAAAGCATATATAATTTTGCTTTATAATTATAAAATTTTATTGCCAAGAACTGAATTTGTAATTATAAGAATAAAAATATACAATTTGCTTAGATTAAAAATAACGATGTTAGAATTTTAAACATAAAATATGTTCAATAAATGTATTTTTTTTACTAAAATTGCTTTTTTTATTGTACATCTCGCCAAAAATTAATCTAATTTTATTCAGAGAAGTCTTGACGTCCCGGAAAGTCCCGGGAACTTCGAACGTCGAAACTTCCCAAAGCTTAGCGAAGCGAAGGTGAGCTGCTAGTGGGAAATAAAGTATAAATATATTACGAGCAAATTGGCTTTGCTATGATCATATCTTTTTATTTAAATCGGAAAGCTGTACTTTTGACAGCTCCAACGCTGTAGCTGCGGTGGCGTTAATACTAAAGTACCAACAATATTAACAACTAGCAGAAGCCGCGACTTCGCTCGCTTTAAAACTACAAACAAAAAAACTTTAAATTTATACAAACTTTGTAAGCATTTCAGGAAAATACAAATGACATCTAATTAAAGAGAAGGAAACAAGATTCACAAATATTTTTCTACTCAAATATTCGATTCGATTGTTTTTGTAATTATATGCAGTTTGAATGACATGACAATATTTTGGTACCGTCGGACTGATCTAGTATTGTTAGAGAGAGGAGGTTGATACTTGATAGTGAAACAAGCAAATAACTTTTTTATGTTGAACCTCCTTAAGCATGTTCATGCTTAAGGAGGTATCTTATCATTGAGATTATTTTGAGACCAGATCATGTAAATTCTTATTTATTTATACTAGTGATTAATTAATGGTAAATTATTTTATTAGGGCAACATATCATGATACTTACTATAGGATTTAAATAGTAATTGTCATCAAAATATTGCGACCAAAATATAAATCTTTTTAATTTGTCAGCTACATCGATTGCAAAGATGAATATTATTCATAAAATTAATAAAAGTTTTTTCCATTCAATGCCTTGTGTATTATTCCATAATGTCTTCAATTCCATATTCTTTCCAAGCATTTAGTATAAATTAGCATTTTTAATAAGATGGTGCCAATAACATTATTATAAATGGACATAGGCAAAGACAATAAGATAAATGCTGCTAATGTCATAAACATATTTGTTGTATTAGTTTATTTTATATTCTTATAAGACATATACAAACTTTGTGTTGTTACTGTAAACTAGAGGAAACATAAAATGATGACATTACAAGATGAATTCTTAAGCTATCATGTAGTTTCATTTTAATTAATATATTATCAATATAATATAACATGGCGCAGTCGGTAATGAATTTTATTCAATATAAATAATAAAATAAAGTAGGTTTACAATATTTAATATAAAGAATAGAAAATATAATATATTGATAGAGACGAATGATGAATGGTCAGATGGATATGTCGGCAGTCCGAATACCTACAGAAATGTGCTGGATGGGGTCAATGGCAGAAAACTGGAAGTTATTTAAACAAAAATATGAAATATATATTGTAGCGTCTGGTAATGTAGAGAAAGATTCTGCAACTAAAATAGCGCTACTTCTGAATGCGATTGGTGACCGTGGATTAAAGGTATTCAATAGTTTTGTATTTGATAAACCTGATGACAAGAATAATTTTCATAAAGTTATAGCAAAATTTGAAGAACATTTTAATCCGGAAAAAAATGTTACATATGAAAGATACAAATTTTTTACTAGAAGTCAAAAACAAGGGGAATCGTATGAAGATTACATAATTGAGTTAAGAGACCTGAGTGCTTCATGTGAGTTTGGAGCTCTTACAGAAAGTCTCATCAAAGATAAGCTGGTTTGTGGAATTTTAGACATTTCTGTTGTAGATCGTCTTTTACGAATTAAGGATTTGACACTTAATAAAGCAATAGATGTATGTAGAACTTCACAAGAAACTAAAAAACAGCTTGAAGAAATACATTCCGGTAATCCTAGCACATCAGAGAATTCCTATAATTATGAAAATGTTAAAAATGTTATTAGTAAATTAAATAAAAATTCGTATGATATAAAAACAGCGAAAAACTCAAATATTAATAAAGATCATGACAAAAATAAAGAAAAATATAAAATAAATTGTAAGAGATGTAGTTACCAACACTCAAGAAATAAATGTCCAGCATTTGGGAAGAAATGCGTCCGCTGTAATAAATATAATCATTTTGCAAGCCAATGTAATAATCATTATTTACGTGAAGTAGAAGATATAGATAATGAAGAGGAGCAAGTAAATATTTTGCATTTTGAAAAGATTTTTGTAAGTTCAGTTGATAGAAGTTCAAGAGACTGGACTGTTGTAGTTGGAGTTAATAATATACCTCTTACACTTAAAGTAGATACAGGAGCTCAAGCAAATATCTTATTAGCTAGTAATTTATCTGTTTTAGGTTTAGATCCTAATAATCTTATTGAGTCAAAAGCCAGACTTGCAACATATACAGGTCAGCCAATCAAATGCATAGGCAAGTGCTCCCTGCGTATAAAATTCGAAGGTAAAAATTACTCACTTG